ACAGATCAAATAAAGAAATTTCCTGTAATTCATAATGTTCTCCAAACCAAAACCAAAAAACAAATGAACACAGCTCATTGGTCACCACTGAAGATGGCTAGGAGACCAGCTTATTATTCTAAAGATTAGTAAAGGAATCAAGTATTCGTTTTTATAGAAATATTGCAGTTTATAAAGGCAAGAAGAATGATAAAATCAGAATACTACTATTTTTCAATCTAACAAAATAGATCTAGACAGCTATCATCAATGAATCCTAAAACCATTAAGAGAAAGGCTGATGAGAAATTTTCTAATCAATGGATCAGACTTATAGCACCTGATCTGCTTTTAAATCTTAAGATCACTAAAAGTAGTAAAACCAGACATTAAGTGCCTTTGATATGATGCCACAGGAAGGGCATGGCATGGCCTGTATACTTCAGCTGGTGGTCTTTGGGCCCGTGGATAGTATTCAAGGGTCTGTAAACTTGTGCAGGGGAAAAAATACATCTTTATTTTCAGTATCTTCTAAGTGCAATTTAACATTTTCTTAAAATTATGAAATCACAATAGTTCATTGCGGGCAATCTGCTGTACTATTGAAGATTCACGTATATTTCTATCACATGACGGATGTTACAAATATTTTAATAATTTATGTTCAACTTAGAAATTATTATAGCTATTAGAGTCTCCACTAGATCTTGTCATTAATAAAAGAGCACATACATTACTTATTAAAAATTTGCCTTTTTTAACATTTTGATAACTATATCTTGATATAATTTCTTTCTTGGATAGTCCCATGCATTTAATTTTATACTTTCAAAAACATTATTCTGAGAAAAGGATCTATAGTCTTCATCATTCTACAAAAGGAGTTCACAGGACAAAACAAGTAATAATTCCCTAGGGGAAAGGAGCTAGTTAAAAAAACACTGAGAGAAAGCAATCTGTTTCCTAGAGTTCTAAAAAACAAATGAGTCAATGTCTTTAACGAATAATGGCACTGGCAACGTTATAGGTATAACTCCTATAGATTAGAGGAGGCCTCGAACAACATGTAGACATGTTGATCCTTATTCAAACACACCTACTATAGAAAGATATTTTGAAGCAATTAAAGAAATTTAAGTATGAACTATTAGATGTGATAATGATGTCGAGATTACCTTAAAAAAATTATTATCTGTTAGAGATACATATTGAGGTATTTACAAGAAGAGTGACATGCTATCTGGGATTTGCTTTAAAAGACTCCAGCAACAAAAAACAAATCAGGGGTGAGAGACAGCTGAAGCAAAATTGGCAAAATATTGATAAGTATTGCAGGGAAATGAGCACACATGGGTTCACTATACCATCTTCTCTCCTTGTACGTGTACTTTTCTCAGTGAAACACTAAGAAAGGAGGGCTGCCCGAGGGATTACACAAAATCACTAAGGACAATCATTGCTGGAGAGTAAAATGAGGAGGGATTATCCACATCTACATTGTATATAATTTGGATATTTCTTCTAAATGCATTCCCACTTACAAATTGGGTCTTATCAATGCACATAAATGTTTTTGCTATTAAAATAAAGTTTCAAATTTTTGAACCAGCGGTTGGCATATCAGCTCAAGAAAAATAAATAAATAACTTCCTTGAACAAGGGCATTTATGCAATCTTATTTGTGATGGTTAAATGATCAAAGGTGAGCTTGTCCACTTGACAAACTGTGGCCAGTTTGACAACTTATGGAGGCCAGGAAAAAAATTTTTTTTAATATTTTCCCAAAGTAAGTAAATAAAATATAAAAACAGGTTTATTGGGAAAACACTTGTTAGGTACTCAGCATCATCATAAGTACGTCTGAACAGATTAAAGGGGGACTTTGTAAATGTTTACATATATATGTAAACATAACAAATATGATGGTTACATTAAGGTGGTAGAAAAGTTGATTCTTTTAAACTGCTCTTTTATACTGTAAATGTAACCTGAATTCAAACATCTATTGAACACTTCCCATATGCCAGATGTAGGCTAGACTGAGCAGCACACAGGGACTGAGTATAGCATATGGAGGTTGGAGTCAGAGTTTCAGCAGAAAGAATAATAACAGACAGACAGACAGATAGCTGGGTACATACATATATACATATATAGAATAAGAGAGTGAGGGAGGGGAAAAAAAAGAAATAAAAGGAACAGAAGGAGGGAGTAAGGAGCTGGACTGAGGGAGGGAGCCTCTAAAAATGGCCTGCAACCATCTCACCTCTCGATATGCATTGCCTATTATACCCTAGTTACTTGCTTTTAAACAACAGAATACAGCAACATTGAGGGGATGTCACTTCTGTGATTAGGTTACAAAAGACTGTGACTTCTGTCTGGTTCACAGACTCTCTCTTGCTGGCTTTGATGAAACAAACTGTCATGGAGAGACTCATGTGCCAAGGAATCGAGGACAGTTTCTAGCCCAAAGCCATCAAGGAACTGAGGCCCTCAGTCCAACAGCCCTCAGAGAACACTACATAAGTGATCTTAGAAGCCAATTCTTCCTCCGTCAAACCTTAGAATGAGACCCAGCCCTGGCCAATAACTTGATTCCAGCCTTATGAGATACTGCGAAGAGGAAGATCTAGCTAAGCTGTACTCAGATCCCTGACTCACAGGAACTGAGTGAGATAAGAAATGTATGTTGTTTTAAACTGAAAGGTTTAGGGTTAATTTGTTATACAATGATAGATAAATAACACAAGTAGACAGATATAATTTTATATTATTTCATGAAAATTCTAGCAATTATAAACATCTAGACTCAGATAAATTTGGTTAGGAGAAATTAGAGTTTTAATTTTCTCCCCTACGACCTATTAGCAAGAAATTTCTCTTCCTCCTCAAAATTCAGATGCCGATAAGGGAAAAAAAGAACACTATTTTGTCGAGGATAGTAATAATAACAACGCAATAGTAGCTAGCATTCATAGAGTACTTATACTTTATCAGGCAGTGTCCTAAAAGCTTTAGCTCTATAAGTCATATAACATTCACAATATTCCTTTGCAGTACATACATAACTACTGCATTTCTGAGTCTGACTCACTCAGCAACTCTTATGTGCTGGGCACTGTGCTAATAGATGTGACAACAAATGGGCATTGTCCTTCAGGGATTGCACAGCTCATTGGTGAAGACTGCAAGGAAGTGGATAATTGAAGCCCAACCTGGTATGTGCTTTGCTAGAAATCAAGTTATAAGTCCTGGTACTTGCTGAGCATGCAGTGAGCACCTTAGTGTTCCCAGGAGCCCAGGAATGTGGGAAAAGCAAGCACCCCTGCTCTCCTAGCCCTGCAAGGTTCTGTCTGACCCACTGTCTGTCAATTTTGTCTGCCCCGGGGCCTTTCCGTCTGGCTGAGCATCCTCTTTGGCCCACTCCTGGCATGTTCGATCAGACCCTGGCTGGTCCTGGACTGCAAGCATATCCCTTTAGTGTCAGATAGCCCCAGAGCTCTACGTCAATCCAGGTGCTCTCAGTCCCCAAGCCTGCTCAAAGGATGCCACTAAGTATGCCAACCCAGCCTCCTGTTGCCCTCAATCTCTGAAATGCAGGGAGTTGGGGCTTCTGAATCCAGTAGTCTGAAGAGTGTAAGAGCTAATGATAATAAAGTTGCCGTTAATTAAATGCATATCATTATGCATTAAGGATCTCAGTCCTTATAGTGAATCTCACTTAAATTAGAGATATGGGCAGAGAGATTAAAGCAGGTTAAGAGGGTGGGTTCTCAGGTAGAATTTGATTCCAATCTGGGCTTTATACTTATGAACATGTGGCTTTGTTATTTAATCACCTGGGCACCAGTTACTTATCTCATAGGGTCATTATGAGGATTAAGTGAGCTATGCGTGTGAAGTGTTTAGTTGCACCAGATACTAAGCACTCAAAGATGGTAGTGTCCTTGTTGTTTTTGTTTGTTTTATCATTGCGCAGTGTCACATACTTATGCGGGATTTTAAGTCCAAGCCCATTCTACTTCAAACCCCTCCCTTCCCCATCCTAAGCTAAACTATATGTTCACCTGCAGGAACCAGTAATTGGCCCCAAACTATCTAAAGGGCCACAGGTGCTCGCTAGCCAATAGGCAAGACCATCTCCCACTTAATAAAATTCTCCCCCAAAGCTACACTTGAGTTTGGGACCTGGGTAGCTTCAGTGTCTGCCGGAAAAGGGAGCTACACTGTGTTTTCATATCTACCTCTGGCATCAGTGCCTCCCAGCCAAGTAGGCAAAGGACTTCTTAAAAAGACTAATTTATCAGATAAACTTGTCTCTAGGCTGTGGTGTGTCACTGGGAGGAACTACCTTTCTAAGCGAGTCAGGGTTCTGTACTTGCCTCAGAGTGGAAGTTGTATTCTCTCCTTGTTCCATCTCTCAGATGGGAGAGCTGAGGTTCAGAGAGGGGCCATAGCTTTTGAGGACCACTTCTAGAGGTCATTGTTTATCAAAGGGTTAAGACACAGATTGGCGTCGGGCTTACCTCTTGACTTGGGCAGTGAACCTGGGCTGGCCCCTTTCCTCTGTTTCTTTATCTGTATAATAGCGCCAGAAAGCTGAACTACATGTTGCCAAGACCCACGGTTCTCAGCTGAGAGCTTGCCCTTACCCGGCCACTGGGCCTTAAGCGCTCGGGCCTGGCAGACTACAAGCCCCAGCATGCCTCAGAGGGCGGGGATCAGTGACAGACAGCTGGCTTTGCGAATTGGTGCCCGCCAAAGGGTTCGCAGCGGCGCGTGCGCAGATGGCAGCAGGCGGGTGGGCTGGTGGCGGTGGACGCGTCGGAGCTGCGGGCGGTCAGGTAGGGGGCGGGAAGGAGGGTCGGGGACGAGGGATCGCCGCCGGAGTCGTGGGCCAGGGCTGAGTGGCGGGATGGGGGTTTGCGCTGACGTGCAGCGGCCGGCCCACGCCCGAATGGCAGGATATGGGGACCGGATCTAAGGGGTAGGACTGGGGTGGGGGTGGGGCTGTAAGGGGCAGGCTGGAGGGGATTCGATGGTATTGAGGAGCTCCGAGGCCCTGCAGCTCGGGGACGGGAGTGAGGGGCTCTGAGAAGCTTCGCGGTGCAGCATCTCGGGAGTTACGAGGTAATGTAGGGGCCCTGAAGAGAGATGAGGTGCAGCATCGGGGGGATGGGAGGGGGTCTGAAGGCCCTAGAGGGATCAGGGTGCAGATTTTCGGAAGTACGAAGGAATCTGGGGGCCCTGATGAGAATTGGGATGCAGAATCTAAGGAGATTTGAGGGAACCTAGGGGCGCAAGGTATTTGAGGCCGCCAGATCAGAGATCAGAGGGAGCAGGGTCTAGGGCTATCATTATTTGCTAAGGAGTAAGCGTTTTCTGGATGGAATCTGGGGAAGATTGAGGGGGCGAGTTCTCCGGGGAATCAGTGGGAAGCAGTGTCTTGTTAGCAAGAAGGGACCTGGCTAAGGTTTGATGGCAACACATGGCATGGGGTGTGTGAGAGGGAGGTGCAAGGTTTGAGGAAGGCATAGTGCTTGATGGAATGCAGGAGTTGGGGGCTCACACTGAGGGAGGGCAGAAATCTGAGGTGTGGGATTGGGGTGTTAAACTGGAATGCAGGGTTGAAGGCTGCAGAGATTTGGAAACAGATTAAAGGATCTATGTCAGAGGGATTTGGGGCCCATGACTGAAGAATTTGGTGAGGCTTGTAATATAAAGCCCAAAAGGTTTGAATTCCGTACTGTAAGAGAGTTGGGAACTGGATTTGGGGTGGTTTGAATGATGGAGTGGGGATGTCATAACTGCGCTATAAAATTAAAGTACTTTAAATAGATTTGTGGGTTGGCGTCATGGGCTGCTAAGTCTCTGCATGAGAAGCAGAGTTCTGGGGAACCCAAGAACCTAGAAGTAATGTATGAAACTATGAGTGTATGAAGTTTAACAGAGTTCAGGGATTCAGCCTGACTTTATCTGTGAGAGGTTGAATTTCCCTCACTCATTAATCAAAGATCCCTTATTATGAAGCAGCCATGGTACCTTCATTTACTTGACTGTGAAGCCAGACCTGCTGAAAAATAGTAGGATGGGGGGTGGGGGAAAGAATGGTAAAAGGGGGCATGAAGCAAGAAACTATGCCAGGTCATCTCCTAAGCTCCCATTTGCTTATCCCTTCAAGCTGTGATAGCAAATAGTATGTAAGACCTCCAGGGAATGAGTGGAACATGACTTCAGGCCTTATTTTCCTCATCAGTTAGTTAAACAAGTAGATTGAATTTATATAAGCTCCATTACAGCTCATAGAGGCAGTGACTCTATGAATGAAGTGTTTGGGCTGGGAGAGAACTCCTATGTATTGAGCATTTAGTCCTGCGTCATGTTCTGAAGCAGTGGTTCCTAACTGGGGGTGATTTTGTCCCCCAGGAGACTTTTGGCAGCATCTGGAGACATTTTTGGTTGTTACAGTTGGGGTATGGGGTACTACTGGCCTCTAGTGGATAGACACAGGGATGTGATTGAACATCGTGGACAGCCTCCATAAGTAATGATCTGTTCCAAAATGTCAGTAGTGCCAAAGTTGACGAACCCTGCCTGGAGTCAGATAACCTGGATTCACATCCTGCCTCTGTCTCTTCCTGCCTTTGTAATCTTGAATGAGTTTCTTAACCTCCCTGTGACTTGGCTCTTCACCTGTAAAATGGGGTTTACAACAGGACCTACATCACAGGCTTAATGTGAGGATTCAGGGAAGTAAATCAGATTGCCTAGTAAGTGCTCAAAATTTAGTAATTAAAAATTTTTATACCTAATTTCTTAGTTTTCATAATAGCCTTACTAAGTAGGCTCTACTATATCCAGTTTTACACATAAGGAAACTCAGGTGTAATAAGTGACTTGTCTAAGGTTCCATAGCTAGGAATGGTAGACCTAGGCTCATATTCAGATCTCTGTAACCCTGTATAGTCTCTTTCCTTGTTTTGTCCTTGTTGGACCTGCTGGTCTTATTATCTCAGCCAATTCCCCTCTAATGACAGGATTGCCCAGTGAGTATTGCTGAATATCAGATTGAACTCTAAAGGGGATAAATCTATCTCGTTAGGTAGGGAGTAGCCCTGGACTTTGTTCCTGATTTGCTCTTAGACCAGGACCAATGGGGTAGATAAGGAGCTTTAGGTTAGAGAAGATGAGGTGTAAGGGACTAGAAGGTGAGATATGGAAGCCATTGGCTTGAAAAAAATACTTCACAGGAGGCACTGAGGCTGAAAAGTCATAACTATTGTTCTGAATGACCTCTTTGGGTCTTCTAGCATTTGCTCCATCAGCGCCAGGACTAGATATAGCATTGCTGAAGCAAGTTCTGGAACATAGTAGGACTGGATCAGAAGGCAAGAGACTTAGCTGGAATGTACACACACCCTTAAGGACTGAATTAATGGAAATTGAATCAGCTTGGGAATCAGGGGCTTGAAGTCAAAACCCTCCCTCTGCTGCTAATTTACTAAGTGACCTTGGATAAGTGCTTGCTTAGCCTCAATCTATTAAAAATATAAATAACTACCATTTATTGCTTGCCTATTATGTGCATTTATCTTGGTTAATCCTGCCAACGATCTAGGTGTTATTTTCATTTTACAGATGAGAAAACTATTAAGTGATTTCACCAAGGGTAAATAGCGAGTGGCAAAGCATGGATGCAAGCCTGGTTCTGTCTGACTTCTAAGTTACATTATACTAGTTTTATCAGAAAGCCTTTTCCTACGCTAAAGAACCCATACACTTATGTCTGGAGAGTGGATGGTAGTCAAAAATTTACAAGGCCTTCCATGATGTGCTTCTGCTAGATCAGATATAAAAGTTATTCCTCTGTGCCTTTACCAGCCTCTCGGCCAGACTGCCTAGAGCCTAATCAGCTAGGGAGCTGTCACATGTCTTTTGAGTCCACGTGGATTTATGGCTGGGAGTGGACACACCTGGATTTGAACTTAAGTTCTACTACCAGTTTTGAGACCTTGGAGAAGTTGCTTTTCTCTGAGCCTTGGTTTCCTTATTTATAAAGAGGAATAACACATATTTCACATAGTTATTATGAGAATAAGACAATGTATAAAAGACACCTGGCCTTCGGTAAATGGCAGTTTTATGAGAGGTAGCAATTATGACAGGAAGGAACCGTGGAAGGACACAGAGTGTTGCTCTGCCACACTTTAGTGACCCTAAGCAGTCCCCACTAGGCTCCACCAAACTCCCATCCCCTCTTGTACCTGTCCCAGGATCTGCTTCCTGGTCGTTTCATCAAAACTTCATGATTAAATGAACATGTGTTATATGCAGAGAAACGAACTGAAAGAGTTAGCTGAGTGAGTTGAGTTGGAGGTCCCCTGAGGAAAGACTGTTGATTTTTCCTTTGTCCTGTATTGAGTCACATCGGCAGCATTGCTATTGCCCAAATGTTTGTGGAGGATGCAAGGGAACCTGTCTAGGCCCTTCAGTTTTAGAAGAAGGATGGACTAGACACGCATTTTTCTGCTAACTCTATTATTGATTTAAACTGTCCTTGACATAATTTAGCTAAAGTTTCCTTTCCCATAAGCATTTCCTTCTGGGTTATGTGTCCCAGGGCTGATATAGCTTTGGGATCAATCCTATGTTTTCCTGTAAGCCCCCACTTGATGAGTTTAGCCTAGCCATTTGCAGGTGCCACTTCAGAATCCTCTCCCCTACAAAAGACTGGGTGTCCTGTGGGGATCTCACTGACTTTCTTCACATCGGTCTTGCTAGCCACTCCCAGAGAGCGATCATTGGTGGCATGGAGATGATTATGTACTTGCTTAGCCTTCCATTCAAATGCAGGAGGAATAAATGCAGTTCAGAAAGCTGTCATGAAAGGAAATGAGATAAGCCTTGCAGAAAACCCTCTCAAACCAGGGCAGCACGTAACCTTAGTAGGATAGACCTCTGTGTCTTGTGAAAAGAAATGTACTACTTTACATGTTTTCTCGTTTTTTTTAATGTGAAGAGCTCCATTCATGAGCTCAAAATTATATCTCCAGTGTTTTCATGGGCTTGACTCATAGTAGGTGCTTAGTAAAGATTTGTTTAATTGCTTAAAGTTCTCCGCATTTGCTCAGGGCCTAAGCCTCCAAGGGGCTGGTCGAGGTATAGGAAGTAGAGGCATCTAGAGAACTACTCCATTGTAGGGATTCAAGCATTGGATGCAGATTTGAATCCTTAGGTTGTCTCTATTCTGAGATCAGGTAAAACAATCTTCAAGGAAGGCTCAGATAAGCAAAGCATTGGATGCAGATTTGAATCCTTAGGTTGTCTCTAACCCTTTGATTCTGAGATCAGGTAAAACAATCTTCAAAGGAGGCTCAGATTTTTTTTTTTTTTTTAGGGGAGGCAACCCTTGGTTGACCTCACAGATAGCAAGGACCTTGTCAGTTTACAATCCCTTATTTTTTTATTCTTTACGCCTACAGCACCTGGTCTTCCTAGGTGGTTTCCCATCCAAGTACTAACCAGGCCCGACCCTGCTTAGCTACCAAGGTGAGACAGGATCGGGCTTGTTCAGGGTGGCATGGCTGTAGACAGAATTTTTATTTTTGAAATGTCTGTATCTGGTAGCTTGGGTAGGGTCTGCCTATTGAAAGGTGCCTGTTAACTTCTCATTCACTGGCTAGGTGGCGGCTGCTGCCACTGCCCCTGCCACTATTACTTACTGCACAGTAAACTGTATACCTTGCTTGGTACTGGACTAAGTGCTTTGTACACAATCTCATTTAATCTAAGATACTATTTTAAAGCTCTTTTTCTTAGATAAACTGAGAACTAGAGAGGTTAGCTTTACATGCCATGAAAGGAAAGATTGTTCATCCTTTCAAAATGCAGTTTGTAAACGGAATGGTTTGTTAATACAAGTCCTAGTTATTATTAATACCGTTCCTGAGTGCTGTTTATCATAATTTTAGTACCAGTCTTTCAGTACATACCTGCCTGTTTCCAGGCTAAGCACTTTATATGCATCATGCCTAGTTGTCACAGTAGCCTTTTTATAAAGAAGACAGGTTTAGTGAGATTAAATAACTTACATTAAATGACAATGCTGATTTGATCCCAGTTCTGTCACACTTCAGGGTTCATGGTGGTTCTGTTGTTTGTTTATGCTACTCTGGGTTATTAATATCATGGACTAGGGAAAGCCTGGTGGCACCAGAAGTGGGTAAACCAGACTAGGGTATGACTATAAAATTTTTCTGAGTCTTAGGGCAGGCAGCTGGAGCAAACACAGCTTAAGGGTTAGAGTCTCATCTGGAGCTGAAAAGCTGGGCTAGTATCTATGAGATATGCAGTATTAATCATGAAGTCAAAGGGCAGAGGGGATAAACAGGTGAGGTGAGATGAGAGGTCAGGAGTTAACAGTACAGAACGAACAGGAAACATGTTCAAAGTATCATGAAGACAGCCGAGATTATAAATAACATGTTGGGGTTCATTCTCACTGGTTTTAGATTTTACAGCTGGCAGAAAATGGGCTGGTAAGACAGTTCCTTTCATCTGTCTAGTCTTTCCAGGGAAACTGAGTTCAAATTGACTTTCCATCTGAATCATTCTCAGTGTTAATAGTGACCAGATATATCCTTCTGGAGGAGAGGGACTGTATGTCTGTCACATAGCGCTGTATCAGGCTAGGATTCTGTCTGCCCAGGCCATAGAAATGGGAGACATGGTTCAGGCTTTATACAGGTCTGAGGCTATCTCCACGCCTGAGACTTTAGTGATGGGAACTCACGTTTCCCTAGCAAAGCATGGCAGCTTTGGGGAAGGAATCCTTGACATCGTCTTCTGCCTGCGAGAGCCTAGCGAAGCTTCAAACAGCTGAGATGACTTGGGGTATGGATGTGGGCATGCTAAGTTAATTTTTCAAAGCGGATAGCTTGGACAAGGAGGCAAGAAGCTTTTTAACTGAAGGAGGTGGTATGATATCCAGAAAGCTGGGGAAAAATTGTGTTGGTATTTTTACAAGTTGGCAGACTTGTTTAATTAGCCAGTCTGCAGTGCCAGCTCTGGGAAGAACAGATGTCCTTATGCATTGTAAGGTAACATGCTCTGGATCCAAACACCAAATGTACCCCTCAATCTGTTGGGATGATGGGAGAACTAAAGCTATTTTATTGGTTTAGGATTGAGAATGTTTGCATAGATCCTGAGTTCAAGTTTCTATTGGTTTTTTTATTGCCCCCAGACTCATGCCATTTAAGAATTCAGCAGTCAGTTTCAGATATTTACATGAGATCTTATAGGTTCATGATATGTGCTAACGTCTTGTTTTACTGAGGCATGGATTTAAGTCATAACCAGTTGCAAGGCTGCTATGTGGGAATGGGTCCCTCAGCTAATAAATCAATGTAACCCATTCTATAGTAGACAAATATCATAACAATATTATGGTTCTTTCTTCCTTTTGGAGAAAATTATATGCTATAAGGCTGCATTTCCCAGAATACAGTCTAGAGAGCATTTGTTAATAAGTGTTATATGACAGTTTAAAAAAAAATAGCTTGAAGTAATGCTGGGTTAAGCAGAGTTAAAGATATCTGTTCTACAGGGTTCCACCATGTTTGAGCCGTGTGACCTCGAGCTAGTTTTTCTGAACCTTAGTTTCCTCAGCTGTAAAATAGGATAAAAAATATTATCTACTTCAGTGTCATTGTGAGGACTAAATGAGATTATATGAAGCATGGTATCTAGCATGGAGTAGGTACTAGATGTGTACTGTTTCCCATCCAGTATAAGAGCAGATTTCAGGGCGGTGGGATTGATATTAGATAAATTGTGCATGTCTGTTGCTGAATATTTGTCAGATTGCAATCTACACCTAAATATGGGGGAAATTTGTAATGCGTATCTCGGCATTGACTCCCCTTCTCCAATGATGACATTTGCAAAGCTTTCCTCAGCTTGCTGCATCGTCCTTAAAAACCAAGCTAAGTCGCCCTCTGCTCCCTCCTCGATGGTTGACCATCTGCGTGTCAAGAGACTGCACCGGTACAGCTGTAGGATTTGTATTTAAGAAGAGCTGAATTTATCCCTATGCCTCACCTTGCTAAATCTATTCTTTCTAATTTGGGGTATAAACTGACAGTGACATAAGGCTGCAGAGCCCTGCAATTTCTGTGGTTCTACTTCATGAGCATATGTGGATCGAGGAGGGTGGGAGTATGCATGGCATGTACTTCATGAAGCAGGGGTTGTTCCAGACCTAAAATAAATTGTCTTGTTAAAGTACTACCATTTTTAAAATCATCTGGGCTTGAGTCTTTGGCTATTTTAGCACCACCACTTCCCCACCCTAATCCACTCAGTTTATAAATCGTACTGAGTATGTACTTCTGTAATATTGCTCAAATGTATCTGCTCTTTAATTCCACCACCTCCTCCCCAGTTAAGGCTCTCCAGTACTTCCAACCAGGCACATCTGCTGTAGCTTCCAAACTAGTTTCTCTGCTCTTTCCCCCACTACGTTCAAGCTTTGCTCATATCAGTTCTCTGCTCCAAAACATAACATTGCTTCACTGTGCCCATGAAGGTCAAAGGTCTCATTTTGGCTCTGAAGCCTTCTTATAATCATTCTCCAATTTCCAAACGAGTTAGTATAAACCCACTATATTCTCCCACAATTTTCACCTAAGGATGAGAGGAAAGAAAACTTAAGAACTTTTTGGTGCTGATCCAAATCTTAGCATTTTGTACACTACATATATCTCATTTAATGCTTACTTTGACCTTGTAAGACAGTATTTTCATTTTACAGATGAGGAAACAAATCCAGAGGCTACGTGTTCTCTATTCTCTCTTTTTTTTTTTATTAAAAATTATTGTAGTGAACATTAATAAAATCAAATAAGTTTCAAGTGTACAATTCAACAGTATCATATGTATTATATATGTTATATATATATGTGTGTCACATTGTGTGTTCTGATTTACTGAATTTGTGTCCTTCCTATGCTTTCTAACCTTTGTTAAGACTGTGCCCTTTGCCTGATACTTTTCCTCCATATCCACATACCTGTGCATCCTTCCAGGCCCCTGTCAAATGTTGTCTCCCCTCAGAAAAATCCATTTCCCTTCAAATTAGAGTGAATCTCTCTTAGCCTCCATCAAACTTAAGTTATACCTCATTGATTATACTACTTTCTGCCTTGATTACTATTTACCTGTATTCTTTGTCTCTTTTTCCTAATGTTTGAGCATCTGAAGGGCAGAATTTGTATCCTGAAAACCTTAGTATCTAGTACAGTACATGATATCTAGTCTGAGGTGGGTGGATAAGTGAGTATTTAGGAGGATGGATGAATGGGAAATACAAGTATTTTTCTGATGTAATATTTTGCTAGTCATAATTCTCTGTTTCTCTGGAGGATTCCTCGGGACCCAAACATGACACGATAAACTATATCCACGATAAAAAAAAGCTTCATGCTTTCGCTCACACAGTTTTCTTTCATTAAGATGTCTTTATCCTTCATTGCCTTATTTATTTCAAGACATAGCTCAGGAGTGTCACTGCTTCTGGGAAGCCTTCCACGCCTTTCTTGAGGTAGAGTCCCTTACTCGACCCTCTGTGCCCCTGCAGAACTTCATGTGTGATCTTTTCCTATACATAATTTTTCTGTGCTTTTCTCCTAAAATAAATCATGAGTTGCAGACTTCACAAAATATAAAAAATAATCACTACTATTTATCTAGCATACTACTTGTCTAGTGCATCATATTCATCATGTTATTTAATCCTTCCAAAGCCATATAAAAGTAGACACCATTATTATTTCAACTTTATAGATGGGTGATGGGGAAACTGAACTTTGAGAAGTTTAGGTCACTTCCTTCAGGTCACACAACTAAGTAAGTATCAAGAGACTCCAGAACCTGAATTTATCTACTGTACGATTCCTCATCTGTTTTGTTCCCCTAACACAAAGTAGATGTCAATAAATATTTGTTAAGTGAATGACTGGATGAGTGATGGCAGCTGTTGTCTAAATGTCTCTTCATATAGGCAATGGAGTAATGGCACCTTTTTCTCTTTAGCAGAATTTGGCCTTCTGGAGCATGAATCCTAAGCTGTTCAGTTCTGGGCTGTGCTAGCAGGACCCTTCAAAGGAAGAGCAATGGCTGCAGCAGCAGCTTCTCACCTGAACCTGGACGCCCTCCGGGAAGTGCTGGAATGCCCCATCTGCATGGAGTCCTTCACAGAGGAGCAGCTGCGGCCCAAGCTCCTGCACTGTGGCCATACCATCTGCCGCCAGTGCCTGGAGAAGCTGCTGGCCAGCAGCATCAATGGTGTCCGCTGTCCCTTCTGCAGCAAGATTACCCGCATAACCAGCCTGGCGCAGCTGACAGACAACCTGACAGTGCTGAAGATCATTGACACAGCCGGGCTCAGTGAGGCCGTGGGGCTGCTCATGTGCCGGTCCTGTGGGCGGCGGCTGCCCCGGCAGTTCTGCCGGAGCTGTGGCGTGGTGTTGTGTGAGCCTTGCCGCGAGGCGGACCACCAGCCTCCCGGCCACTGTACGCTCCCCGTGAAAGAGGCAGCTGAGGAGCGGCGTCGGGCCTTTGGTGAGAAGTTGGCCCACCTGCGGGAGCTGATGGGGGAGCTGCAGCGGCGGAAGGTCGCCTTGGAAGGTGTCTCCAAGGACCTCCAGGCAAGGTATAAAGCCGTTCTCCAGGAGTACGGGCACGAGGAGCGCAGGGTCCAGGAAGAGCTGGCTCGCTCTCGGAAGTTCTTCACAGGCTCCTTGGCCGAGGTTGAAAAATGTAACAGCCAAGTGGTAGAGGAGCAGAGCTACCTGCTTAACATCGCGGAGGTGCAGGCTGTGTCCCGCTGTGACTACTTCCTGGCCAAGATCAAGCAAGCAGATGTGGCGCTCCTGGAGGAGACAGCTGATGAGGAGGAGCCAGAGCTCACTGCCAGCCTGCCCCGGGAGCTCACCCTGCAGGATGTGGAGCTCCTTAAGGTCGGCCACGTCGGCCCCCTCCAAATTGGGCAAGCTGTTAAGAAGCCCCGGACCGTCAACATGGAAGATTCCTGGGCCATGGAGGCTGCAGCCTCTGCTGCCTCTACTTCTGTTACATTTAGAGAGATGGACTTGAGCCCCGAGGAAGTGGTTGCCAGCCCAAGGGCCTCACCCGCCAAGCAGCGGGGTTCTGAGACAGCCTCCAGTATCCAGCAGTGTCTATTCCTCAAGAAGATGGGGGCCAAAGGCAGCACTCCAGGCATGTTCAACCTTCCCGTCAGTCTCTACGTGACCGGCCAAGGCGAGGTGCTGGTTGCTGACCGTGGCAACTACCGCATACAAGTCTTCACCCGCAAAGGCTTTTTGAAAGAGATCCGCCGCAGCCCCAGCGGCATCGATAGCTTTGTGCTGAGCTTCCTTGGGGCTGATCTGCCCAATCTCACTCCTCTCTCAGTGGCCATGAACTGCCATGGGCTGATTGGTGTGACTGACAGCTATGACAACTCTCTCAAGGTTTACACCTTGGATGGCCACTGTGTGGCATGTCACCGGAGCCAGCTGAGCAAACCCTGGGGCATCACAGCCCTTCCATCTGGCCAGTTTGTGGTAACTGATGTGGAAGGTGGAAAGCTCTGGTGCTTCACTGTTGACCGAGGAGCCGGGGTGGTCAAATACAGCTGCCTCTGCAGTGCCGTGCGCCCCAAATTTGTCACCTGTGATGCTGAGGGCACCGTCTACTTCACCCAGGGTTTGGGCCTCAATTTGGAGAATCGGCAGAATGAGCATCATCTGGAGGGCGGCTTCTCCATTGGCTCCGTGGGTCCTGATGGGCAGCTGGGGCGCCAGATTAGCCACTTCTTCTCAGAGAACGAGGATTTCCGCTGCATTGCTGGCATGTGTGTGGATGCTCGTGGTGATCTCATTGTGGCTGATAGTAGTCGCAAGGAAATTCTCCACTTTCCTAAGGGTGGGGGCTATAGTGTCCTTATTCGAGAGGGGCTCACTTGTCCAGTGGGCATTGCCCTCACTCCCAAGGGGCAGCTGCTGGTCTTGGATTGTTGGGATCATTGCATCAAGATTTACAGTTACCACCTGAGAAGATACTCCACCCCTTAGGAGATGAGAAATAACCAGTTTCTTCTGTTCCCCAGCCAACTTCCCTTCCCTTATTCCTTGGTTGTTGGTGATGCTGTCAAGTAGACCTGGCTTATGTCCTCATTCCAACTGGTTAGTCCTAGAATTTTAGAAACTCTTAGTTTTTTATTGGCATTATTTTCCCCCTCAATTTAGAGCTTTAGCAGATGCACTTTCCCAACAAGACCCATGATGGAGTTAGCTGAAGTCTGATTAGAACTTAGGCCCTTCCAAGGCTTCAGTAGAGAGCCTTTTCCCCTTGATTTGAAATTTGCCCTTGTATTGAACCCTTGCTGATTTTCCTCTCTTTTGGCTTTGATGACCCTGGTCCATCATTTCCTTCCTATTATAGGGTGTTTCATCTGTGTCACTTTCTCTTCAACTCTGCTGCACTCAGTGTGCATGCTCCAGTGGGATCTGCTCCATCTTTCAGTGACATTTCGGACATCATATCCTTGTGGCATGATGTCTCAGGTCTGATCGCCTTTAGCAGTTGAAAACTCATTCAGTTAGTGCCCTTTGGGAAGCACCACCTCTCGGCTCGGGGGGTTTTATGCCATCTTGGAATGGTCTCTAATTGCAGATGTGACAGAGAATGAATTGACTGTAGTCCATTAATGTTGAAGACTTTAGTCTGGAAATTGCTTGCCTTTTTTAAGGAGCATATGGATTAGAATTATGCCAAAGTATAGGAAGATGGGGTAAAACAAATACGAATATAGTCAGCAGACACTCTTGGATAGTCTGTAGAGCTCATCATTTTTCATACTACCTCTTTCCACTGACCTGTGCTGAGAGTTGTCTGTGGAATTGTAAAACACGGTCCAAGGCCAACAAAGTGGGGAGGTGGGCACATGTCATTTCATTAGTAAAACAAAACTGTTGGGTCCTTATTCTGTATTTTCCTCAAGTGAGTGTATAATATTTGGTTTCAGGGTTAATTTCTATTCCTCTATCAAGCATTAAATAAGTGATAACTGTTTTCGTCATCACTGGTGTTCATTTTTTAATTAAATATGGGGTTTGGGAAGTGAGAGGAGGGATAAGTTGTACCAAGCTGTTTTGTTTCCATGTCTGATGTTGCATTCTTTGAAAGCATTGAGGATCTACCCAGGTTAAAATTCAGCCAAAAAGTACCATTATGTAAAGATAATCCAGATCTTATTCCCACACCCGGTGTACGGAACCAGCCTCCAAGGTCTATAGTGTCCAACATCCTGTCCTAAACTGAGTCTTCCAGCATCTGCTTTATCCTTGTAATTACAGTTCAAAAAAGGAAGAAGCCTTGTGCTCTTAAGACCAGAAGTCAGTGAGGGAATTTGTGACAACATTGCTCAAGCTTTGGCATTTACTAAGCAACGTATCTTGCTCTTTGAGTGCAAGGCTAGTGGCAAGCCAGAGAAGTATTACCTTGTTTTCACGGAAGCAAAATTTGCTAAGTGAGCTATTCAAAATTGGATTTTTGGTGATGGCTGGTGATGTTTTTGTTTTTGTTTTGTTTTGTTTTTTTGGCTTCTGTTGTAACAGCTGGTGGATAGGAAAGGAAAGAATTAAAGTGATGAACTAGTTTATCTCGTGCTTTTCACCTGGAGAAAGCCCAGCATGATCTAGTTGAACTAGATCATCTGATTATGAAATTACACCCGGTTTTCGAAAATTGTATACTTGAGAGGAAATTGATCCAATTAAAAGTGAATCACAAATGACTCCACTAGTTATTAGAGCCACTTTTCTGTGGTAGCAGCTGGCAGCAGGAGATCTGTCATTCTGTCAGTGGGGGACTTGCCGAAGCAGTAACAGTGGCTGATGCCTTTGGCACGTGGTTTTCAGCAGAGAAATGAATATTATGGGTTGCCTTGATGTAAACTAGGCCAGGATTCTCTAGTTGCTGATGCTTTCGGAAGGAAATGCTATCATTATTAGTATTTATCATTTAGATCTACCCCATCTCTCAACTCCACTCGTGCCTCAGCTCTCAAGTAACGGCAGGTATCTGCTGGCTAAAAATGGAAATGAGTGTGGTCTGAACGTTTTTGTTTCTTTGATGTGAATGTGTTTAGTACAGTCAGCTTTCAATTATCTACCATATTGACTAAATTGCAGAGTATAACCCCGAGAAACTAATTTGCTCAATTACAGCAGTTGTTTTTTTTTTTTTTTTTTAAACCAGCAGTATCCTTACTCAAATAAAGCCTTACATGCAAGTCTATATATAACAGATCGAAGAGCAGCTGCTCTGGTTGCAGCAGGTTTGTGGGCCTAGTAAACGGTCTTTAGCAACCCTCACCTAACCTGTGTTCCACTGCACAACTCACGCGAATCTACAGAACGCTTTCTGAAAACCACTGACGTATAGCATTGCTTAACTTCCAGTTCCATCTCATTAGCCGTGTGGCCATGGACAAGTGATTTAACCCTTCCTCTTCTGGAAAATGATGAAAAGGATCCCTGCCTCCAAGAAGGGTATAAGATGGGAGATCACAGATGTGAAAATACCCGGCACAGTTCTTAGTATACTCAATAAGTGAAAGCTGTCATTATCTTCTTTATTGAGTTGTTCAAAAGAGTAGCATAAGGCTGCCTAACCACTCCGAACAATACCTCCCACTTTCCTATTTTACACATTCCTATCTGGCAACCAAAACCTTTGTTAGGCATTTCTTCCCCTTAGCCACAGGTATCCAAATAAATCTGATCACCTGTTCCTTTTTACTATACCTCTACCTAGTTCATGTTTCTATTACTGTATAGATAACTGTGTTGCAATTATTGGTCCATATATCTGAGTTTTATTGAGAGCTAACTTTAATGTCTAGCTACGAGCCATAATATGGTACCTAATACAGAGGATGTCCTCAGTTTTTAATTGGTTCTGTATTTACCTGATGGTGATAACGGGTCCTCCCATAACCTGAGTCTTCCTGAAAAGTCCCTTACATTGATTGGATAAAAATATGTTCTTTGGCAAGCCCTTTTATAAGGTGTATATTTATAAGGTGTATATATATATATACATATATATATATAT